GGGAGGGGGGTGAGAGGGGAGGGGGAGGGAGAGAGAGGGGGGGACAGAGGAGGGGGGAGGGAGATATTAAAGGGACCCGTCCGGCATGTTGATCACCTCCACAACATGACCTCGTCCAGGACAGTAGGAGACAGGTAAAATGAACAACAACAACATCAAAGAGAGGAAACTTATGTGGGAGATGGAAGAGGAATAAAAAGAAAAAACATAAAACAAGAACAATAAGAAGCAGATTAAGACGAAAAAGTAGAAGACGACCAAGAAGAAAAACAAAGAATCTCAGACGAAAAAAAAAAATTGAGAAACACAAGAATAAAGGGAACAAGAAGACATACAGTAAGTACACCATCTTCACATCACCTCTTCAAGAAACTGGATTACATTAACAAAAGTTCTGAGGTAAGAGTCGGTGTTTCGTCTCGCTGGGCGTCTCGAGGCTTCATGATCCGTGTGTGTTGTTCCCAAATGCAGAATAAACCCACGTTTGAAACATACTATCAAACCCCTGCCGAAGAGCCGAATCCTCGAACCACCGAACCCCTGAATCCTCGAACCACCGAACCCCTGAATCCTCGAACCACCGAACTCCTAATTCTTCGAACCATGGCAACACCGAACCTCTGAGTCATCGAACCACCGAAACCCCTAAATCCTACAGCCACCGAATCCCCAGAACCAGCGAACCCATGAATTCCCAAACCACCGAAACCTTTGATAAAAAAAAGAGACATATATATAAGTAAGTAATGATATCTGACTTATAACTGGTGTACTTTTGTTAATATTTATCCATATGGTTAATGATACTAATAAGCACTTGAACTTTAACCGCCCTAACGCTAACCTAACGTCAACTTAATCTATCCCAAATCAACCTAACGTTAAGGTAATCCAAATCAAACCCCCCACCAGGTGAAATAAGCTGAAGATTGGGGGGGGGCTAATCTGCAGGTGATCCGGAGACTCGGTAAAGTGTTGTTAGTTGTGATGGTTGAAGACACAGTTATGAATCTCCAGAAAATCTTCTGTGAAATGTTTGTGGTCGTATTGTGGCTGACGAGTGACCATAAGCCTAGAATATAGCGAGTGTTGGTGGTGGTGTGTTGGTGGTGTAGTGTTGATGGTGTGGTGTTGTGTTGGTGGTGTGTTGTGTTGGTGTGTCGGTGGTGGTGTGTTGGGAGAGTTTTGGTGTGGTTGTGAGAGGCGTGGTAATGGGTGGCTACCAAGGGCGACACCGTCCACCAACTCTACATGGTATAGTGGTGACGCGCCCAGCTGCACCACAACCCACGCTGCTAAACACCCTACACCGTGAAGGCCACCCCCCCCCCCCCACACACACACATACCTGCAGGAATTACCACATTTCAACATTCATATTCGGTTCGCTATAATGAGAACAATAGGACAGTAGGTTAACATAGTAACAATAGCATAATATGGCGTATAAACATAAATATGACAGACAAACAATAAGAGCAGCAGCCAAAGGTCTTATACCAGAACACATACACCATGCTGGGCAATGGTGTAGAGAAATGGTTGCTGGAACTAGGGAAGATAAGAAACTTTGGTGATGTTTCCTTGGTACTGCTGGAGGTGTGTGAGGAGTCAGCAGCAGCCCCTACAGGAGCCACGACCAATGCTCCTGTTGGAGGCGCCCCGGAAGCGGCCTCCGAGGGCGGTAACAGCGGCGTGACAAGCAAGACTGGCGGTGCTATTGAGGTGGCTGCCACAAGGACACAAGACGCTTGCGGTGTGTCCTGTAGCTGCCACTGACACACTGTTGCTACCCTCACCACCTCCCCACTTCTCTGTCGCTTCTTTATCGCCACAGCCACCCTCTGTGTCACCCACCACCCGCTGTGTCACCCACCACCCTGTGTCACCCACCACCCGCTGTGTCACCCACCACCCTGTGTCACCCACCACCCTCTCGACTCCCATATCCAGGTCTCGTCAACATCACTACGACTTTAACAGCCCTCAGTCTCGTCCCCACACCACCAGTAACACCCAGAACGACTCTCACCATACCCTGGCCCCACCAATAACCTAATCCCCCTAATAAAAACAAAAACAAAAACAAAAAACTAGAGTCAAGGAAATAAAAGCTTAGTAGAGTATATCTGGTAATTTGGGCGATGAGGACTGTTAGACCACATTCTCGATTCATAAACCAGTTTTAGGTGAATGAGTTAGTGAGGAGGCTCGTCATGTGGTGGACCTGCTTGACCCTCTTACAGCCTGCCTTAACACCTGTCCGTGGTGAGTGTGATGACCCCCGCACACACACACACACACACACCTAGTACTATCCCTCCTGTTACCCAGCACTGAGAAGCATACTGCCCATTCCTTTCCTGTCCCCCCTCCCTCTTTTCCTCTCTCTACTTCCTCCTCCTCCTCCTCCTCCTCTAGTCCTCTCTCTCCTTCCTCCCCCTTTTCTTTCCTCTCCTCTCCTCTCCCCACCTAAAGAAAAATTCAAACTCACCCTTAAGCGCTGCATCGCCCCTCAGACAAAATTGTCAGACTCGCTTAGGTGAAGTGTCCTTGATTGTGTGTGTGTGCCGTTGGTGAAGTAATTCGGCAGGTAGATGAGTTGTGACGTCATCATTGGTGTGTGCCGTTGGTGAAGTAATTCGGCAGGTAGATGAGTTGTGACGTCATCATTGAGACACTGAACCCAGGGTGTCGTCAGGACGCTAAATAACAGAACCAACACACATTCAGAACCACTCGTGTTGAATGACGAGGAAAGGTTAGGTTAAAGACTGGTAGGAAGGTCTCCAGTAGGTGTTATGTTAACCAAGGACGAATGAGAGCTCGTCATACCCACAAACGCGCGTGTGCTGCCAATTCTCACCCAGAACAGTGAGAAGTGCCACGTTTTACACTTTACTCAGACCATTTTCGGTTTATTTCAACAGTTCAAGACTCGAAACAATGGCATAAAAAGGAGGATCAATGTAACAATGTTTGAGACATGCTTCATAATGGTGAAACAATGAATCTTTCTACTGACAATTCATTAAAATATGAGTCAATAACGTTGACAATACTGTGATAAAATTATCGAAGATGAAATGTCTTGCTGCTAAAACACTATCTGAGAGCTTTAGTTTCGAATACCGTCATACACACAGAATCATACATGGTGTTGCCACGTAGGGTAAAAAAATGCTGACTACCGTAGATGATGACGTTGTGTGCCTCAGTTCAAAATTGTTCAAAATTATCACGGACATTTTATCATAAATATCATACTATCTTCTGGTAAATTTAAGCAGCATATTTCTGTTAACGTATTTTTTCTTAATTGTGACAAATCCTGCAACCTAATTTAGCTACGTTACCTTCCTTATTTAATACATATTTTGTGTTTTATTGCCCTGCCCTGTCAATGTATTTTGTTCACGTGTGTCGTAGTAGTCTGATGGGACGTCGATGGATACAAGACATGTCTACCTATTATGAGATTATGTGAGAGTATAACTCAAAAAAAAGAGGAAGTACATTAAAACATCTGTTGTCAATATTATTATACAGTAGTGTGCTGAACCTTGACGAAGACTGTCGGGAGACCCAGCACTCAAGACAGGAAGAGACAGGCTACAAGTTACACACCGTACACTCATTGTTGCAGAATACCGTTATTAAGCGCTTCAGTAACCACCTGTGTTGTCATGAGGAAAATTCTAGGCTCACGTCACGCTAAAAAGTCAATTGCATTACTTAACAGTCATGAATAAAAGAAGAGGAAATTAACATGATTTTTGGGTCATATTTTGAAGACTTTTTATAATGATTCAGTTAATAAGTTGTTGTTTTTGTTGTATATTTACGTGGCATCAGGGATACATTACACCGAGACTACCACAACGAGATACTTTCACTCGATACAAGTTTAAAGGAATATCAACGTCTAGTCTCGGTGACTCCTGACCCACGATCATCAGACAAAGTTCACTCATGATGTTATTAAGTACCGTAAAGTTCACTTGGTTTACTTCTTACTACTTACAAAAAAAAACACGCCTTAAGTTTTTCTTTTATAATCTCTTAAGTATATTTCTTATTTCTACTTTTACATTATTCTGTCTAATCACCAATCGCCAGTCCACTAAACCCACCAATCATCTCTCATTCCTCAAGATCCCCAACCAGCCAATCAACATTCAATATCCCAGTCCCTCGATACCAAACCCACCAATCATCTCTCATTCCTAAAGATCCCCAACCAGCCAATCAACATTCAATATCCCAGTCCCTCGATACCAAACCCACCAATCATCTCTCATTCCTCAAGATCCCCAACCAGCCAATCAACATAAACAAGAGGGCTTTCAAACTACTGTACTGTACTATACAAATCAAGTCTTATAACCCCAAACTAAAAAAAAAACTCTTTATATTTAATTGACGTTATTGGGTGTTTAAACTTCACTTGTGTTACGTATACAGACATCAGTTATTAAAGGAGGGTATTTTTTCCGACCCCCTCGACACGGTGTATATAACCTTCACGTTTAAATCTGCCAAAACAATAATAAACTTCTATTACAAACGAAATATTAGAGTCAGTATTACCCTTGAGTGTCTTTGGTGTGAATAATAACGTTTAGTAATATACATATGCGTGAGGCGATGTGTGAGTAACAGCATGTATGTATCGCACGTAATACTACTGTACACGGTTCTTCATTCTTCACCGAGTATCTGAAAGACTGCCAGTTGTAGTGTGGCGAGGTGTGACGTCATTGTTACGTTGTATTGGCAGGTGATGACGTACCAGGAAACTTTTAATTCTCGTCACGTCACTGTTGGAAAAACTTGTCTCTGAGTCTCGTTCTTATGGCAACAACAACCCGAGAATATTGTATATTATCCCCGTGTATTGTGTGTGTGTGTGTGTGCGCGCGCCACCAATAATACTGTTTTTGTGTACCTCCCACTTGTTACCTTGGACCATCACTAAGGTGTTCTCTATTCTTCCACAGTGTGTAATGTGGGGTCGTCGTGGCATGTGGCTACAGGGGTAATCAGGTCGTCTTACCGCGCCTTCTCCAGGGAGAAGATTGACGCCACCCTGGGCATTGCCGTCGGGCTGGACCACGCAAACGTCACCATGCGGGTCATTCCTCAACACAATCGCAGCCTCGATATCAACTTCAACGAACGCTTCCACTGGATCGAACCCACGGACATGCGAAAACACTACCGCGAGGCGTTGGTCAAGGGTCTCCCTTACCCCATCCTCACCGTAGCGGAGTACCTCACCCTGGACAGCGAGGGCTTCGCCTGGGGCAGATACTACCGCAGCGCCGGCTACTACACCAGTATAATCCTCTGGTGAGTTAATCTTCCTGCCTGCTTCTCCATCCCTATCTTACAGCTATATAGATATTTATCAATTCATCTTCCTATTTGTCTCATATCTATTCACTTCTCCTCCAGTCATATAACTCACTACAAAAGCTCTCAGCTTCACAGTCGATAAATAAAAATCCATTTTTGAGCCACTCCCTAAACTCACAGTAACTCCAACCTAATTATTTCACGACAAATTACACTTTGATGATGTGTTTAATTCAACTCTTTTCCTGTATTAAATGAGACTCAATAGTATAGATATACTGTAGGTACAAGTATAATTACAGGCATAGGTACTGCATAAATCCAGTCAATCATCAGCACCCAACTCAATTCACTTACTCACTCACCTTCAGGGCGGCTTTCGCGTCGTGGATACTGATGAACGTCCTGCTGGTGAACGTGCCCCGCTATGGTGCTTATACCATGACTATCACGGGGTCACTGATGGGGCTCTCCAACATTATCTTCTACCTCCTCATGCCCCCAAAGCCCCTTGAAATACGCTTCGAGGAAGTCACTCTCACCTTCAGCTTGGGCTGGTGCTTCTGGCTGACTCTGGTTGTAGGTGAGTTTCCGGGTCTCGCGTCTCCCAGAAGTGCGCAACATTTTAAACCTGTGAAATATAAAAGATTTATCACATGTTTACCTTAAAATTTAGGATAAAGATTTCATTTTACATTAAGATTGACATAACCATTACCATTTGCCATCCATTTTTTAATTACTCATCGGTTCCTAAACTTTTTGAAAATGAAAAACTCATCGTTTCTACCCCCAACAGGATGCCTTGTAACCATATCTGGACTGGTCGTATCTATGGTGGACTGTATCTACCCTCACAAGTTCTCCACCATCCTAGAGGTGGACTTCGACACCCCTTACGACCGGCACATCATCATCGAGGATTCACACGACACCAGGAAACGCCGCTTCAAGATCCCACGCCTGGAAGAACCTCTGAACGCTGGTCTCAACGCTGGCTCTAGACTCCTCCGAAGACTCTCCAAGCGAGGAAAGGAAAATACGGAGGAGAATGAGCCCAGGATCTCTCCCGGCATCGACAACCACGCCTTCGAAATGGAACCTCCAAAGGCGCCATGGAAATACCCGAACTTCATGATGCGAACAGACTCTAAGAAATCGACCAAATCCGTCAACTTCAGATCGGCATCACAGAGATCACAACAGTTCCTGGACATCCCACAGCTGCCGGATTACGAGGAAAAAGTCAACAAAGCCTTCAATCGATCCGACTCCAAGCAGAGCAGTATGTCGTCTATATCAGTCGCGTCGTCGCCCAAGAGCGTCAACTTTGAGGACCCGGTTCTGCCAGGACCCAGCGTCCATCCTGGCGGGGCCGAAGCTGCCCCCGGAGCGTCCATACTCCGGCAGGACTCCAGCCAATCAGTAGCATCATCTTCATCCTCGTTCGGCCTAGGGATGCTTACGAGGAACCAAAGCGTCCGTAGGATCTCCAACGAGGAAAACAATCATCCGCCAGTAGCGAGAAACAACTCTGGCAATATTATTGTGTTCCACCGCACGGACTCCCGCGGCCAGCTGCAGAGGTATGACTCCCTCACACGCCAGAGTGTAAAGAATCTTAACATTAATAGTGATGACGACGGCTCAAACTGAGTCGTTTGAATATATATTAATAATAATAAAAAATAAAAAATATAAATATTTTCAGTTCTGTATGTTAAGAAAAAATTGCGTAACGTCAATAATGACATCCACCACCACACTGTATACTAATACAGATTTCACCAGAATTGTGCAAACTTCCAAGATAAACTTGAATTTGTTCAATACCGAAAAAATATTATAAATAGTAATAAACAGAAAATAAATTATTACTTTGGTCACAACAGTCAAAACCTTTTTACCGGAACAATATTTAAACCTTTCTTTGTCAAATTCCAGTCAAACTTTAAAGTAACGTCAACATGAGTCTTCACCCTGGACAGTTAAGTCTTTATTTGACAACTTTACAAAGTGACTAATTTCACTTTTCATTCTCATTCCAGGTTGAACGGTGAAGTGGTAGAAATCCAGACTGAGGATTCGTCGGACATTTGGTAAAGTGCTGAGAGAGTCGTTTGTGAGCCCCTCCGCTTAAATTATACAGTATACTAAAGGAAGGCCTCACAGCTACTCTCTCTTTAACACTTAGTCCAAGCCTCCTACTTAACATTATAGTGATGGGTAATTCATATCATTTTTATTCTACTCATTATTACCGGGAGATTATCTCTTAAATGACTTAAAACACAAGATATGGTCGTCCCAGTAACTCGCATGCTGTACGACTCTCACGGCATACGATGTGATACTCAGTGATTATATTAGAAAATAAACAAAAAGTGATATAGTAATTTTAGTATAACTTCACGCTCTCATGAATTTGAAGCTGAACTCTGTATGATAAAGCTTTCTGTAATTTATTGTGATCAACATTTAATTAAGCGCCTCACGATAGCTGTGAAACTCAATATGTTCAGTGTGTGTGTAAGCTCAAGTTCCAGTATTTGTTGATATACGACATCTCAAGGGTTTTAGGCGACAATGAAAGACTAACATGGCCTTTGTTACCTTGTAGGCGCGCTTTGTTCTCAAGTGTAAACGATTTTGGAAGAGTTTGTAGGTAGTTTCATATGAGAACACGTGCAATATATATATATTTCATCTACTGAATGTCTAAACATTAAATATCATACAACAATAATTATCATTTTGTCTACGATATAAACTACAGACATCCCATCACGTTGTTTACAGTGTAGACAACTAGTGGAAAGTTTGTTAACGTTATTTATACTTCAAACACAAGACCATCCGTCACAAGCTCACCACCATGCACCTACAACTTGACAAACGTGAGTCTTCCATAGTCGCCTAAACACAGCAGCGTGTACCCTCGAGATAGTGGATCAAATAACCCAGTGATGAACCTTGGGACTGAACTCTTTCCTCACAGGTTTTGTGTGTGTGGTGGTTCAGATCCTCCTATGTATTTTAGAGCTTTCAAACCCTTCCCACTTGCACGTTGCTGATCGCTGTCAGAGCTGCATTGTTAATCATACTCTGACATATGTATAATAAACAATTTTGTATATATATATATTTGTTTTACTGACACCAACAACATCAGAAAATACATGATAAATGCTGAACAAATGAAATATGAACAATCAATACCCGCTACGTGTCCTCAGTCCTCCCACCCTCCCCTCCTTCCTTCATCTAGATCTATCTCAATTTTTAAGTATTGATGGACCAGTGTAATTACTAATTTTATCACGCGCTTATAAACCTTAGTTGCTGAAGCGTAGTAATAACATGATAACGTAACCCCCCCCCCCCTATACCTCCTCGCTGTACACCTCCCCAAGCCTCCCACTTCCCACCCCCTCTCTCACCACACCCTGTTCCGTTCAGTCGCCTTCGGGTTTCCCCACCAGGTAAAAAACTTACCTGCCTCATTATTTTACTGAATCATTGAGAATTTGGCCTGAACTCCTCCTACACTGCCGCGTAAACTGAATAACTTAATATATTTCCTGTAAGTTTTTTATTTATCTATCTATTTACAAAATGTACTTGTCGTGTTGCTACTTATTTTGTACCAATTGAGGGATTTAGGTTAGGTTTAGATTAAGTTAAGTTAGGTTGGGTTGGGTTAGTTTTAGGGTGTTTAGTCGCTAGGTGACAAGCTGGGGAACTAATCGCCAGGTAATATCGCTGAAGGTCAGGACACCATGTCTGTACTTTTCATAAATATAAACTGCTGCTGTTATAAATCAAACTATTTTCATCTTACATGTACTTTTTTATGATTTGTTTATGAAATCTGAACTCACTTCTATAATTTTATTAATGTAAATTGTTCCCCAAATATACCGAGGTTAGTGTTTGTCGTCATCTAAAACGTTGATGAAGAAAGACCTATTGGTTTAGTTTACCCTGTACTGTAGTACTGTATTATCAAAACATCAATAGTCCTACACTAAAATCACTTAACCAACTTTGTGATACATTTCCATACAATATTTACTTTAAAAAAACAATAACGTCTACCCCACTGAAACCTACACAAAAAAGCACAAAATATTTTGAGAACTCCAAAATTTCCCTCGGCCTCGGATGTAGTTTGAACTTTTTCCTTGTATTTTTGTCGGGGACAAATGCTGTAGCTATGACAGTATGAAGATACACTTTAAAATGACTTAGACCAATGAATATTAAGTCTAATGAATGTTAAGTTAATGTAGTGTACGACTAACGACCATCTAAAAATGGTGTAAACAGTTAAGTCAACAATAGAGTCACACCACCTTCCCGAGTCCCCAGCTGGTCAAGGTGCTGATGACTAGCTGTTCTGTGTGGCCTTGGTAGGATTGTTGGGTCCACAGGCTACCGCTTTTTACTACCTCGGATCATTCAGTTCCTGCAAAGAAACTCTCGCGTCATTGGTCAAATCCTTTTTATCCTTTAAGTAATATGACTGTACTCATAACCCTCCGTAAATTACCTTATACCCCAGGACACTGTATACGCTCATAGCTGGTCAAAGTGTTCTACCCATCTACCAAGTAAGGTCTATAGATCTTGCTACAAAGTTACTCACGGATTCTCAAAACTTCGCATATTGGATTTACCAACGTACCTAAATAAAACAGCACTTTTTTTATACTGAAGTCTTTGTACAATTATGACGACATTCTGGTCACTGTGTTATTGTGTCTGGCTCGGTAACGCAAATCCTAATTTTGTATGTAATGAGCTAATGACCTTCTTCCGGTGTCCAGCTCACAATATTGCCAACTCACGAGTCACAACAAGCAAATAATAAGAAGTCCAGTTCACTTCAGAAGTGGCACCACTGTCATCACAGAAATTGGATTACGATGTAGAACAAAACGAGAAGGAAGAGATAACGAACAGGTCATGGCTGAAGAACAAAGCGAACTGACAATGTATTCGAAACATTGATTACTTCGATTAAAAGTGATAACACGTTGTACAACTGTCAACCAGATGCCATGGTAGATTCCTTCAATAAGTCACTGGTAGTACTGCTTGGTCACGTCATGCGATAAAATAAGAAAATTTGATACTTCGGCCATATAATTCGGGATGAGGAGATAATGGTAAAGTTGTCAAAGGGTAAAACTAAGAGGGGTTTTTTTTGTAGAGAAAGGAGGGGTGAAAGAAGATTAGAGGTGGGGGAAGGAAGTTATAGTTCGGAAATTGAAGAAATTTAGGAGGAGGTAAGAGAGGGCGGGCTGACCGCCTAGCTAAGCTAATAGTGTTAGGGTTGTGTCATGGGTTAGTTATTGTCTGTCGGTACAGGCACTAGACATCCTACCCTGTCCCATATATGAGTGTTTTGAGGGCCTTATTTCATAATCCGCCGACCCTACTGGTGGATGCTGGTCTAGGGAGGTTGTCTATTGCCTGGCCGTGTAGATCGGGGGTGGTAATGGACCTTTTGAGATTTGGTAACTTTTGGGGAACCATGTATGGTTGTTGTCGTTATCTGGTGGGAGTCTTTGAAGGAGTTCTTGCTCTGATCATTCTATCTTTTGCCAGATTCTGCTGGCCAGGGTGCGCAGCTGCTGGTTGATGGGTTTCATTCTCAGGTCTCTATGTATCTCGGCTGTGGTTCTGGTGAAGGGGTATCTTTTACCTGTGACGAATCTTAGGGCTTCATTTTGGACCACCTGTAATTCTAATATTTGAGTGGTGCTCATTGTATGAAGAGGTACTGCTGGGAAAGTTAATATCGGTGTGATAAATGATGTCACCAGGCGGGGTTTTATTTTCTCAGGAAGCGCTTTAAAGAGGTATAGTTTTCTCAGCTCTCTTCTTGCCTTTTCCTTCCTGGTGTGGACATGATGGGAGTAACCTGTCGTGGATATATGCAGGCCCAGGAGGGTGCCTTGGCTTTTGTATTCTATCTGGGCATTATTGGTTACTAATGGATGGGTTTTCCTTCTGCATAAGGGTATCACTGTGAATTTCGGGAGACTGGTTTGGATTTTCCATTGTTTTTCGTAATTATTTACCCTTCTAATTCCCGCCTGGTGTTGTCGACCTGTAACGCTCTCGATTTTCCTTGATGTGTTGTTATTTGAGTGATGTTATCTGCATACATAATATCTTCGTTACCTATTTTAGTGGGAGGCGGGGTGTCACTTGTGTAGATAATATATAGGGTGGGGGAGAGGACGCTCCCCTGAGGGACTCCGCTCATGAATGGGAAGGTCTCTCCTGTGTGTTGTCCTACCCTCAGTCTGGCATTTCTGCCGACAAGGAAGTTGCAAAGCAACTTTTCAATGTTGGTGGGAAGTCCGCGTTGGAGGATCTTCTATTTTAGACCGTCATGCCAGACTTTGTCAAATTCCTTCGCGTCATCCCGGAGTTAGATTACAGTCTACCACTCGCCGCGGCTCTGGCTATGTTTTCACATGCCAGGGCTATCGCTGTTGTGGTGGACTTCCCATTCCTGAATCCGAATTGTCTGCAGTTAACTCTGTTGTTTCCGTGATTTCTCAGACGGTTATTGATGATTTTTTCTAGGATTTTTCCAGGTACTTCGAGGAGGGAGATCGGCCTGTAGTTTAGTGGGATGGCGGGGTTCTTTCCTTGTTTTGGTGTTAGGGTAATAATGGCCACTTTGAATTTAGTTGGGAAGTAACCCGAGGCCAGGCAAGTGTTCATCGTGGTTCTCAGTCTCTCCATGGCCGGGTTATGTGGCTGAAGATCTCCTTGGTGATGCCTGAATAACCATGGGCTTTATTTTTGGTATTGGAGATGGCTGTGTTGAGTTCTTCCGAGGTGATTGGTTTGGACAGTGGGCTGTCCACTTTCAGATCCTCCCATATGATTTCAGGGGAAGGCTGAGTGCGGTGTGTCTGGCCCCGGAGTTCATCAAGGACGAGTTCCTCGCGGGTACCATCAAATCCCCTTCATTTGTGATTCCTCCATATGTCCCTGAATATGGGTTCTTTGTCTTGGTCGTCATATATTTTACTTCCTGCGTGGTCAGTTATATATGATGACTCGTTACGGCTGCAATCTTTCAGTCTCTTAACTCGACGCCACAACTCTCCTGGATCGTTGTATGTACGTGAGAGTTGTTCAACTATTTCGGCTAAGGGTAAGAGGGCCAGGGGAAGGCGGGGGTAGGAGGGCTAGGGGAAGGCGGGGATAGGAGGGCTAGAGTAAAGCAGAGGTAGGAGGGCCAGGGGAAGGCAGAGGTGTAAGGTCCAGGGGAAGGCAAGGGAAGGAGGGCCAGGGGAAGGTAAGGGTAGGAGAGTTAGGGTAAAGCAGAGGTATGAGGACAAGGGGAAGATAGGGGTGTAAGGTCCAGGGGAAGGCAACGGTAGGAGGGCCAGAGGAAGGCAAGGGTAGGAGGGCCAGGGAAAGGCAGGGCGTAACGTCCAGGGGAAGGCAGACACCAGGTTGTGAGACCAGTGGTGTTAGTACACCCCTCACAAGGCAATAATATTAACAAGCAGAGAATTGCATAAATATTTCAGTAAACCAAAAGATAAAAATATCAAAGAAGAATTATTGGTATAAATAAGGTGTAACTATAAGCACAAGTGATGTGAATGATAAAACAAATAATATATTTGTCATGCAAAGCCTCTTCCGCTGGAAGTACGACTTGCTTTATTATGAGTTCCGAGTGACTGGGACTACATACAGTATATTAAAATAGTGTACTACAGCACACGAACGAAGAGTCGATGAGAATCAAGCTTAGAGTCACATTTCTCTGACAAATCGGTTATTCTGCAGGTGTTATAAATAAGGCACACCTATCCATCTCAAAACTAAATCAGTACTTTGCATACTATGTTGGTCAGGCTCACCGGTCTATAGTTGTTCTTGGAGTATCGCCATTCTTGAAGATAGGACTCACATAAGCCATTTTCCAATCACTGGGGACCTCTTGCTCATCCAGGCATTTACATAACAGGATCTTCAGGGGCTCGGCAAGCTCGTTGCACAACTCTCTTAGCACTCTGGGATGCACCATGTCAGGGCCGGGACTCTTATGGACCTTTAGCTTTGACAGTTTATTTCTTATAACCTCTTCTGTGAACACAGTGTGGGACAGAGCTGTGTCAAACCGTCTGTCCTCAAACGCAGGTGGGTTAATCGCATCAGCTCTTGTGAACACCGAGGAAAAGAAGCTGTTCACTGCCTCAGCTTTGTCCTGGTCAGAATCTGCGTAACTACCATCTTCAAGCCTCAGGTATGATGCTCCTACTCGAATTCCAATCATCTGGCCTTTTGGGTAGCAACAGGTATAACAGAAATCGTAAGCAATGTACTGTATACAAATAAGTATGTATATAGTCACTTGTGTTTCTCTATTTCTAGAATGATACCTTCACATCTACAGGATCGTGGAACCAACCACCAACGAGGAAGAAGCCCAAGATTGATGAGCAAGAAAAACTACAGTTACGCCCTTTCGTGTTGGTAGTGCGTGACATCACAAAGGAATGTCCCGGTTTCATATTTTCCATCCCATTCAGGATTTTGAATGTTTCAACGAGATCTGTACTATTGTGTCTTGTTTGAAGGGTTGTAAGTCCTAATACCCCCAATCTACTTGGATAATCGAGATGACATAGTTCCATATCATCTTAGTAGCTCTGCGTTGTACCTTTTCTAGGGATGTTAGATAATCTCTGGAGGTATGGTTTCCATGCCTGTATACAGTAATACACAGTGAGACGTACTTGAGATTTGTACAGTTTAAGGAGTATTTTCCTATCTTTGTATTCAAAGGTACGCTTTATAATTCTTCAATATGTACTTTATTGCATTGTGTTTTTAATGTAGGCTAATATACAACATACATGGTATAGAAATCTTAAAAATAATAAAAAAATTACCTTTGCTTAAGGCTGAACATCTTCATTCCCTTAGCTGCAATCTTCTTCCCCCACTGTGTGTGTGACTTGATGTGCCCATGCATACTTTTCTGTAGATCGGATCTTTTTCAGTATTGGCTGATTGCTCTTTAGAAAGGTATAGAAGTCACTGCAAGATGTTTCTCGGAAGTTGTACTGTATAGTCAGAATGCCTTTCATTGTTTCAACACTCAATTTGCTCCTTTCCTTTGTCCATTGACTTTGCATCAGTGAAAAAACTTTTTACATTTGCATTGTGAGATGATATAGCAAAGAAGAATTGTGCAATTCTAAGCAATTGTGAGTGGCATTCAATGTTCTTTGATTTTTCAAAATATCTGGTCCACTTTTTATGTGTTGGCAGATTACTAAATTCGTCATCACTCTTGAAATTTTCCACAAACTGCTTCAGGTTACTAACTTGGTCAAAACTTCACATCATCAACTTCTACCCCCTTATCAATAAAATATTTGACAGCTAAGTTGACAACACCGTACAGGCGTACACGTGACTTATCAGCTGACGAAAACTGAACGAGATCTCTACTGTTTCCACCTCCCCTCTCTCTCAGTCTCTCTTTCTCTCTCGTCATTACAGTTTCATGTTTTTTTTTCCGTAGAGAAAATGATGGAAGCTGAAATTCCGGACTTTTGAAAAATTTTAAAAATTACTTCCGGATGAAGATTTCGAGACCTAACTGGAGGACGTGTCCGGGAAAATACGGACGTATGGCTACCCTAAATTCCTAGACGGTCCGACCATCCGTCCTTCACAACGCTCTTCAAAGGGTAATAATAATATTAATTTAGTATAATTGTCGTATAGGTACCCATTTGGAAAAGCATGTATACAAGTTATCCAATTATACAGTTTATAATGAATGTAGACGGTGCAGTAGTACATTACAGTATACTGTTGTTTCCTGTGTGGCGAGACAGTGCAGGTAAACAACAATGGCAATTTGGTAACAGATGCTCGCCACACTATCTCTCACAGTTTAAGGTTGAAGAAGCCACAAGTCCAGAAAATGTCAGGCCAAACCTTTTCTTTATTTTAGGTGGGGGGGGGAGTGCACCTTAACTACCTACTTTAAGACATTTCACCATAGAACGTAAGTGTTTTCTTACCTCATGAGATCGATAAAAAGTGCACAAGAAATTGGTTATGTGTAATATTGGTAAATTTGCATTGTCACACCGTTCACTTTTAGCAAGTAAAAAATATATTTTTCTATTGTATTTGTGTGTGTTTAGACCGAATATGACCTTCATTTTTGGCGGAAATTAGCCTTTTTTTGCGATTTTTTTTTCGTTTGACGTTTTCCGAAAAAAAGTGGCTAAGCGACTAAAAAATACACAAAAAACACTAGAAAAACCTAACCTAACCTAACCTAACTTAACTGACTCTCACCATATGATGGAATCGCCTATTTCTTACCTTATTGGCCTGGTTCTTGTTCGTCGTTGCATTCTGGGATTCTTACCCAACGCCACATATGTTGGTCTTTGCGATATTTACATTCAGTCTTGCTCTTAGTACACTTTACCGAGGTTGGAAGAACACCATGCGATCGAAAAAATGCTATAGTTTCTACGTTTTTTCCCCAACACTCACAATCAGCTCCATATACTTTAAGTGACATCCATCGTAGACTTCCATGGTCGGAACTGAAATTGAATTTCAAAATATGAGACCCAAAATAAAACTCGATTTTGATTGGGCCAAATATACTCTGAATTAAACCCAAAATCATTTTAATTGGTTCCAAAAGCAAAAACGTTTTTGATTGGCCGCGTGACGTGTACGGGTATGCGTGCGCGTAATGATTTATGAAGGAGACGCGAGAGACAGCAGTGTTGGGTGAGAGGCAGACGATGATGGCTAGAGGTTAATGGAAGAAAATAGAATTTTTTTTTGGAAAAGCTATCTCCGTTATTATACATTTCCGCCGGTAATGTAATAGATGAAAATTATCTTATAATTAGACGTCTTATTCGAATATGATAATAGATTATTGGTAGGAATGAACGGTGTGTAAACGCAATAATACCGTAATATTTTTTTTTTCCAGGGGTAGTGTTCTCGGAGGTCCCCCATACTCAGAGGGCCCCTTGTATATAATGCGCAAGAGTCTAGATTATTTTGTCAACACTGTTGGCACCAGGAAAATATAATGGAATTGAACCTAAATTTGTGGAGAGACTAACATCATGATCCTGAACACGAAAATGGAAGTGAGGTAGTTTAGGTCAGGTTCTGTGCATTCTCGCTTCCATTTCGTGATCAGGATCATGATATTAGTTTGTCCACAAATTTTGGTTTAATTCTATTATTTTTTTCGAGTGCAAACCGTGTTGACAAAATAATCAAGACTTTTGCGCATTTTATATAAGGGGCCTTCTAAATATGGGGGACCTCTGAGAATGCTACACTGGAACACAATTCTTTGGGTGCTTCCTAACCTTCAACACAGTTGTGACTCTTCACTTTCCTGAAGAAGATGATCCATTCAAAGAATTTTTTATTTTCCAAGAGGTTAGTAGAAGACAACTCCTGTACTGTACAGTATATATTAATTTGGTTAATATTCGACTTTCACCCATCACCCGTTCCTCTTCCAGTGTTTCTGACCACTCTAAATGTGTGGGGTTTTTTAATTGCCACTCGATGTTTAAAGAGTAACCGTTTCTTATGCAAATGTTTTGTTTTTAATATATATATATATATATATATATATATATATATATATATATATATATATATATATATATATATATATATATATATATATATATATATATATATATATATATATATATATATATATATATATATATATATATATATATATATATATATATATATATATATATATATATATACCCTCAAACATTGACCTACTTTCAGCTGCGCCAAGGTGATTTAATGGTCTGCCAGAGTGGTTAGGTTTAGCTAGATAGTATTATGTATATATTTACCTTTGGTCCAGGTTAGTGACAATACGGTCATGGGTAGCAGCAATTCAGTCAGTAAAGGTAAGTTAGGTTAGGTTATCTTCTGATATGATAAAAAAAAGTTCTGGTGTATTTTGGTGTAAATTAGTCAGATACTGTATAACCATCACATGAAAATGGCCATTTTGGGGGTATTGTCAATTTTCTAGAGAAAAAGCCCACTTGCACAAGAAATGAAGGTCATATTTTACTAAAATACACCAGAAAAAAATTCATATCAAAAGAGGGGAATGGGCGAAATTTTAATTATTACTGTAGGATGGTTAGGCTAGGTTTTGTAGGTTTGGTTAGGTCTAATTTGATTTGATATGAATATATTGTGTAAATCATGAGATGTGTCTGACTTTTCTATCAATCTGTTCCAATACACAGTCCAGTACAGTATATTTGACATTGTGTCTAACAAGAAGCAAGTTCAACATTTCTCATTTGACTAAGGTCTTCTACCTGCTGTAACTGTAAGATGAAAATAATATGGTGTCTGATGGTGGCTAGGAACCTACTCGCCATATCCTTAATAAATTTAAGATCATCACTAATTGTCTGGGATCAGTGCCGGATTTAGGAATGTTAAAGAGTGTATGGCCAAACAGAGCACCCCGCACATTTTCTGGACACCCAACTTTAAATATAGAAAATAAAATATGAAGTTCCAGTTTATTATTATTATGTCAATGGCTAGTCAGCTTTACATTGTTGTACTGCATGTAGCTGACAACTTTTAAGAGTGGGTGGGTGGATGTAGTATATAAATAATATAAGCTACTGGACAGTATGCCATTTCTTACTCAAAGGTTTAAGGTAAAAATATTTTTCCCATGTTCTAGGCCTAGGGTAATCAATGTGTGTATTTTTTTACGAGTGTTTTACAATACAGCAGCTTGTATGTGTTATTAAAATTAAGTACTGTACAGTACTGTATTGTGGGGTTCAGGGCTCCCATGTATTTGAATTGAATAGGTCCCCACAGGCCTAAATCCAGTATTGTTTGAAACATTTAGTCATATCATATAACCCAACCTAACTAAACATACTATAACTTAACCTAACCAGTACCTGTTCCCCCAAAAAATTGGGAACTATGTCCCAACACAGAGACCTGCCATATTGTTACATGGGAGTAATGTCTCCTTGAATTTGTCCAGATATTTAGTCATGGCATAATTTTTTTTTTCCTTGTTTATACAGTATTGTACTCTATATCCTACCCGAGATTCTGGTAAAGATGACTACTGTACTTGTACTGGTAGTAATGTGGCTAAAATAGAAATGGTTTTGTAGTGTGAAGCAAATAGAAAGTATCAACTACATTAAAATATTACAGGTGCCAAGTAATTAACATTGTAAAAGTAATTGAATTACAGTATTCCATGAATTATTAGGGAAAATAATTTCCCAAATTTCAAGTCTCTGATCATAGATCCTTAGTCAGTGTATCAAGGACTACCGGTACCTGTGCCCACCCGGGCACAGGTCACTGACCCAAATTGGGGCCTGGGGGGCAAAAATGTAGTAATAATAATAATAATAATAATAATAATAATAATAATAATAATTCATAGCAAATAAACATTTTAATAAAAATACAAAATTAAAAATAAAATAATAATAACAATAATAACAACACTGTAATAATAACAATAAAGAACCATAAAGAAATACAAAAATTAAAAAATAAATACTAGTGATAAACGATATACAGTATGTATGTTGTGTTGTCAAAGTAAGAGAAACAATTGAGACCCTGCAAGTGTGTGTAAATGAGGCAGAAAGCTCAGATCAGCAACCTGGGACTTGGTCAAAATATTTGTGATGCCATATGGCAGCAGGGTCTACCATCATACAACACATTATAATTCCAATATCTTCCCAGGTGGTAGTACCTCCCTGTTCGATAGCTGCCTACTATATTTGAAAGTCATTAGTACCTATAATTCCCGAAATTTCAATGACAGGTGCTGAATACATTAGGTTACTTTGATTATGTATAAAATCGAGTCAACAATATGCAACTCAGCTTATGTAGATGGTTTTATCTCCACAGATCACAGAAGGGAACTGCTCAACCCACCTGGCTGCTCTAGGGAAGACACCTCTTCTCCCAAAGGTACCCCAGAAGCCCTTATCTCAAGATGTGAGAAGCACCCCATCACCTGAGCGTCTCATTATCACCATGACCCGTAACAAAACAGGATGATGAATGGTTAGAGGCAACATATGTAAGGCCCAAGAAGCAAGACTCCAAGCTCATAAAGTTTAACCTAGTGCCCAAAAGAAATTGTTTGACTCATGAAAGGAATGAGGCAGAAAGGTCATATGAAATGGATTTGAGTGACAATGTAATCTAAAGTCTGAGATGAGACAAGCCAACACTGCTGCCAGTTTTATAAATCTTGGCAACACAACATAACTATACTTTGCTGTGGTGTGTTAGACCAGGTGAGGTTCCTATTGTTAACTGGGCAGAGTATTTTATAGATGATTTAACAAGATATAGCAGTAAGTTCTCATACTAACCTTTCTTTTTTCATTTACTTTTGTGCAACAGTGGAGTAAATGCAAATTGATTGTTTTTTTTTCTACAGAGTTTTAAGCATTTACTTATAAAAATTATACATCTTAGCACAAACAACTAAAATTATATTATGGGTACAGGTATCTCTCACTTTATGAACATTTGAAATACAAATGTTCTATTTTTACACTTCTGTCTCACTATACAAAAGCTATTCTCACTCATACGGATTTGGTCCCTTAAGGTAATGTACCTGTACCAAATTTATATTTATTATTTTTTTAACGTGTTAAGCTCAAAATTACAGTACAGTACTGCACAGGTGTCCCTTGCTTTACGAATATTTGAGATCCTAATATCCTCTTAGACAAATTAACTAATTTAACACCTCTTTCTTATTTATCGAAAGCTACCCTCACTTATAAGTACTAATTTTGGTCTGAGCAAAAATTCAAATCTTGTGCTCCCGGGACATATTCTCGCTCACTGTATTGATTATATTATGGTTATTTTTAAACTCGTAATTTTACGTCGATATACGTAACTAACTAACTTACTTTATTTCAGTTACATGGACAATTCTTCGTACATAATGTAAAAATATACAGGGAATAAACATTTCTTTGTGCACGAGAGTTAGCAGGCTAAGCAAGGGAGCCAAGTGTAGGAGCCCCGTTGCTAAGGGTTGGCAGAGGCAGCATCCCAGCTGGACTACGTTGCCAATGCAAGTTTTGAGGCCACGCAGCCAGCATCTTCAGCAAATGGGGGTTGTGTTAAACTTTCATTTTGCTTTTCCTTAATGATTTTAGCTGAAAATTTTCATCTAGATAGTATGTATGTTAATGTTTTTTGTGTTAGGTAGTAAATTACAGTAATTGGGTACTATTTTCCATTAGTTAGGTAGGAGGTTTTTTTTTTTTATGTTCATAAACCAATTTCATGATTTGGGGTATAATAGATGAGATTTTCTTGTTATTGGGGAACCAATCCCTTTATTTCCCATTTGTTCTGTTATTCGAGATATGAAAATTCACCTAACGAATGGTTTTCCAGGAATCTGACCCATTCGCTAAGTGAAGGATACCTGTAGTTGGGTAAGATTTTTGTTTGTCAACTAATCTCATTTTCTTTTTAAGAAAAATATTGGGGTTTTCTTGTAGCTTACTTAATTACAGTAGTTAGGTACTAATTTACAATACATACAGTACAGTACTGTAGTTAGATAGGAGGTTTTTTGTGAACTTTCACCTTTTTTTTTTAGATAGTTTAGGGTTTTCTTGTCAGTAGAAAGCTGAACCCTATTTTTCCCATATGTTATGTTATTCAAGATACAAAAATTCACCTTATGAATGGTTCTCAATGAACCTAACCCATTCGTAAAGTGAGGGATACCTGTACATGCTCTTTGCGTTTACCAGTAACATACTTGTGTAACATCTGTTTGGATATCTACCCAGTAATTATTTTTAAGATAATTAGCTAGAGCCTTATCCCAGCAGGATAGACAGCACTAGAACCTTGAGTTAATACAAGGAGATAAATTCTCTTAAGAATATACTGTAGTAAGGCAGTTCAACATCATAGATTGTTTGGTCATGAATTTCATGTTTTATTGATAAAACTGGTGACTGTCAGGAAGTTTTACCATTAACACAGTCACAGTTAACAAGTTTAGTACATGTACTTGTATATAGCCAGCACCTTTTTGCAGGTCTATCAAACTTTTGCAGCTGTATTCAAGAGTACTACAGGCTGTGAGGGCCATTATTCTGTGTGATCCAAATGAAAGCTAAGACTTGATCATCATTATACAGTACTGTATATATTGCATCCAGCTCTAAGAGTTAAACCACAGCTGTTTCACCAAGTGGATGTTAGTGCAGACTTCTGCCAGGTGAGTTATACACCTTGTGTTGTAAACTGTGTACAGTTCTGTACCGTAACAGGGTACACCGAGTAACACAATGATCTCAAGGGTTTATGTTCTGTTGGAATTACAGTACACCTCATTTTAACCTTGTCTAGTCTTTCAAATATACTACAGTATACAGTCTCTCTTCAACTTACGACATATTTGACTTACGACAACCCGGACATACGATGGCCATGGTCGTATAAAATATTTTTCACATTAAGTATTTTCAATTCCCAACGTTAGTGATCCGCTGTGTACTGACAAAATTTTCGTTTGTAATTCCCTTTAAAATGGCTGGCAAGCGTAAAAATGAGAGTTCTCGTGGTGCTGAAAATAAAAAGAGATACCCGTTTTAGAATTTCTGTGTATTATTTTCACCTTTTCAACTTACAACCAATTCGACTTACGACCTGGTCGTCGGGACGAAACCCAGTCTTAAGTCGAGGAGAGACTGTACTAGCATTGTCTTGGATGGCAGCTGTGGTCATGTTTGATTAATCCATTAAGGACAAGAACACTTATACAACGATAATGAAACTATATAAGAGGCAATGGTTGAACTTTTTAAGGTTTAACAGGATTGTGGTTTAACCTTTGGAAAAAAATATTACTTTTTACTTTTATCCTCTTCGCCACTGATCGGCTCATTAGCCGCTTGGGCTGTCGGTCACACCTCTGTTACACACGGTTGGCAAGTACTGGCTCCAGAATGCATCTGTATCTGTGCCAGTGTTGGTCAAGTCTGGTCTTGATTGAGCTCACACTCAGTGCCATCACAACACTGGCAGATTCTTCCAAGAATTTACAATTCTCACTCCGTAAAAGTTTGCCCTGACAATTTTCCAAACTTGTGGCTTCTTCAACCTGGGCTGTGACCCCAGTGGGGCAGACATCCACTAACTCCAGGTATGAACACTCGACCAAGTAATGCCCTCCAATATGTTTATAAACTTCAGTGTAGTCTCCCTTTGCTTGCCTATAGTATACGCTAGGCGATTGCAGGTGTTCTTAGCTCTCTGGGTAACTGAGGTGCCATAATGCAGGCACTGGTCTGGTGGCCCTCCTTTGGACATTTTCAATCAACTGACAGTCTCTAAATATCCCAGGGACCTGATGGGATGTCGGTACAGTAGTGTACAATACTTCAAATGGGGAAGCACCTTACTCTTGAAGAGCGTAACGAGAGACGGACCTTCTTATAAGACCTACAGGGTATTAGCTTAGTTGCTTGATTCACCTTCTTTTCACAATGGCCCAAGAACTTCAGTTCGTTGTCTACATACACACCCAGATCCTTTTTACATTCGCTCAGTTTCCTAGAAACTGCGGGAGAGGTACAGTAAGTACAGGAAATTTGTCCTAGACTGTTATGTCAGATGGCATTAATATTTGGATGTTCTCCCTGTATTGAAGGTGTTCCACATACCTGCAGCAGCAGGTATCACATGGTCCATAGTGTTTAAAGTAACTGTACAGTACTTAGTGAAATGGGTGGTGGGTCATTCACTAAGGCGTCATCCTCACTTCAGATGATTCACCAATTTTTTCTAATTGTCACTTTGCAACATACGAGGCTTATCTCTTTGTATAGTTGTGTATCTTGTATTATGGTATGTTGGCTGGATGGTTTATTTTGATACAGGGTGGCTGGATACTTTATTTGACATGGAGACTTAAGATAGCTATATAACCCAACCCAGTAAGTGTTTCTTGTCCATTAAAATATGGCTTGGTGTTAGTTACATCTGGCCTGAAAACTTTTAATTTTTTACAGCTAGATTCAGCTTTGCTTGTCCATTAGAGATGACCTGGTAACTCTGATTGCCCATTAACGCCTTCGCTTAGAGGGGGTGTGTGAGGGAGGAGTGTGTGTGTGTAAGGGAAAGGGTGTGTGTGTGAGGGAAAGGGGTGTGTGTGTGTGTGTGTGTGTGAGGGAAAGGTGTGTGTGTGTGTGTGTGTGAGGGAAAGGGTGTGTGTATGTGAGGGAAAGAGTGTGTGTGTGTGTGTGTGTGTGAGGGAGTGAGTGCGTGTGAATGAATGCTCCCATCATGCAGCTGACGGCCAACTGCCCACCAGACCAGTTGGTCACTCAAAAAGAGGTAAGAAAACAGATGAATACAGTAAGCTCAATACTCACCCCAACACAAGAGATGAGAAAAAAATCTGATGAAGTCAAGTGTGATATCAGTGTCTTAGAATAAGACTAGTACCATACCAGAGCAATTTCACCCTCCCAGCTTTTCCTTTTGTCTTGGAGATTAAAGGACATACCAGGGAGATCATTCTGATGTGATGCTTGGTTTAAGAGGATGTACCTCTGACTGAATAGGTTAAAGCTAGCTTGTTTGCAGCTTTTCTCGTGTATTAAAACTTTTCAGCATTTTTCACACCAGTAAACTAGTTTCCTTAGACTAATTTAAAACAACTTGGTTGTATTTTTTGCATTATATGTACTCATAACATATTTAAAAAAAAATTCTGACCAAAATCCAGATAGATGAGCAATTATGTTGGCATGTAGAGAGATTTCAAATTTGGCTGGAAATGAATCTTTCCCATTCTATTTTTTGTACAGTTATAATCCAGAATATATTTAACATTTTACTTTTATCCTCTTCACCACTGATCGGCCTGTTTGCTGCTTGGGCAATCAGTCACGCCTCTGTTACACACTGTTGGCAAGTACTGGGCATGCACTGGCTCCTGAATGTAGTTGAACCTGCTTCAGTGCTTGTCAAGTCTGGTCTTGAAAGAGGTCACACTTGGTGCTGTCACAACTCTCTCTGACAGGCTGTTTCACGAATTCACAACTCTCACTCTGAAAAAGTTCGCACTCACAGTTTTCTGGACTTGCGGCTTCTTCAAAATTGAGCTGTGACCCCTTGTGGGGCAAGCTTCCTCCAGCTCCAGGTAACGACACATGACTGAGTAGTGCCCTTTGAGATGTTTATACACCTCAGTTAGATCCCCCTTGCCCGTCTGTAGTATAAGCTAAGCAATTGCAGCCGTTCTAATCTCTCAGAGTAGCTGAGGTGCGGAAGTGCTGGCACCAGTCTGGTGGCCCTCCTTTGGACATTTTCAATCAACCAACAGTCCCTAGCATATCTTGGGGATCAGACTGGGCGAGAGTACTCCAGGCGGCGAAGCACCTCACTCTTGAAGATCGTTACGAGGGACAGCCCATCTAGATATCTGAACGACCTTCTTATAAGACCTAGTAATTTAGTTGCCTGATTCACCTTCTTCTCACAATGGCCCGAGAACTTCAGTACAGTGTCAACATACACACCTAGGTCCTTTTCACATTGTCTCAATTAATGCAGTTTCTTCGTCCTGTTGGGACATATGATACGCCTCCTTATCGTTTGTACATCCCAGGTGCATCCTCTTACACTTCGTGACATTGAATCTTAGCAGCCATTTCTTCGACCATTCTTGAAGATCAGTGATCCTTCTGCAGTTCTTCACAGGCTGTTTGGTTCTTAAGTTTCCCTTAATAACTTGGCATCATCCACAAAGATTTGAATAGAGGAATGTACAGCTTCTGGCATGTCATTTATGAAGCAAGCAAACAAACAACAGCGGGCCCTATACACTGCCCTGTGGTACCCCGCTTGTCAAGGGTACACATGATGATTTCGTGCCATTAATCGCCACACACTGCTTGCAATCCCGTACCCTTTCAGTTTAATTTTCATCCTTTCATGTGGTACGCTGTCAAAAGCCCTGGCAAAATCTAGGTAATTATTGTCGATATTGCCACCCTGTTCCAGAATTTGGGTTCAAACATCCAGTACCTTGAGTAATTGTGTCAAGCATAAAACCATGTTGGCAATCCTTTACAAGGTTGTTCCATAGTAGATGTTCTATCATGGCAACTCTTGTAATGCTCTCAGGTACTTCACATTCTATGCTGGTCAGGCTCACTGGTCTATAATTATTCGTGGAGTGACGATCGCCCTTCTTGAAAATAGGACTCACATAAGCTATTTTCCAATCACTGGGGACCTCTCGCTCATCCAGGCATTTACATAATAGGATCTTCAGGGGCTTGGCAAGGTCATTGCACAACTCTCTTAGCACTCTGGGATGCACCATGTCAGGACTGGGACTCTTATGAACATTTAGCTTTGACAATTTATTTCTTATAACCTCTTCTGTGAACACAGTGTGGGTCAGTGCTGTGTCAAACCGTCTGTCCTCAAACGCAGGTGGGTTAATCGCATCCTCTCTTGTGAACACAGGAAAAGGAACTGTTCAATGCCTCCTCTTTGTTCTGGTCAGAATCTGCGTAACTACCATCTTCAAGTCTCAGGTCCGATACTCCTACTCGCGTTTTTAATTTTGACTTTGTATAGCGGTAAAACACCTTCGGGTTTGACTCGACCTCGCTTGCAACCAGCCTCTGGAACTCCTTTTCAGCCCTTCTACACTATGACTTAACTTTGTTCCTGGATCTTGCATACATCCTCCTGTCCTGCTCATCATTTGACCAAAACACACCCCTTGAATTTCTGGGCATGAGTTAGCTCCAAGAACCAAGTTAAGTCAGTGTAGAAGGGCTTAAAGGGAATTCCAGAACCTGGTTGCAAGCGAGGTCAAGTTCATCACATCACAGTTATAAGTCGTTAAAAAGTCTTTATCTTCTAAATGTACATCTTTGAGTTAATTTCTAAGGGTTTCTAATACTAACTTATATTTTTGAGCTTTTCAGTAAATGCAGTACATGTATCAAAAGATTTTGGCCAGTCTGGTTATTCATAAAAATCTACCCATTGAAATATTAGTGACATTACTCTAACTCATCTTTATTTTTCCTATAGGTTAATTGATGAGAAGCATCTTCATATTTGCTGGTGCTGACTTCATCCAGGAGGATTTCCATACAAGTTTTTAACTCGTCAGTGAGAGGGAGGACCAATCTAACTCATCTAAGAAGATGCCTTGTTTGAGAGCAGCAACAGCCTCCAACTCGTCTCCAAAGACATCTCAATTGTTCAACAGAGTTTATTACAGCCGAATCTTTTATATATATGTACATATAAATACATGTAAATATTAGTTCTCTGATTTGTTAATAAAGGAATCAAATTATCGTCCAATATTCAAAACCTTATACTGTGTCCTCTTGCTGGATATTGTCTTAGTTTGGGCAAAAAACAAATAAACTAGTAAGCAACTCCTCGTCACCTTAACAAAGCAATCAACTCCAAATACTGTATACAAAAGGTACCAAGTTTACTATAAACTGTAAAAAGCTTACATTTAACATGGAAATTAAAAACAATCCAAACAATCATGCAGAACGAACATAAATAAATACCCCGTACTTCGGTCAATTTGTAGTCTCAACTAACCCTGGCTCTCAAGTTAAATATTGAGTTTTTCCATTGGTTTAGACAATTTTAAGACATTTTCTTCTTTTCTGACGTTTCCCTCGCAAATGACTTAAATATACCAGGATATCCAGGTGGGCAGTGCCCTCCGGTTAGGAGGTTAGGTTAGGTAATTTTAGGTCATTCCCTGTATGACCGAAACTTAAAATACATGTATACCCATCCCTGTTGCCATATGGCATCATAAAAATTGTGACCAAGTCCCAGGTTGCTGATCTGACTACCTTTCTGCCCCATTTACACACAATTGCAAGGTCACAATTGTTTCTCTTACTTTGACAGCACAAGATATATAATACTGCATATTGTTTCTCAATATTGATCTCTTTTATTTTTTATGACACAATTTGTTTCTTCTTTTGGATTTTTTCATCTCCCAGGCCCTGATGTGGGTCAATGGCCTGTACCCTGGTGGGCTAATCCCCATTAAAAAAAATATATAAAACTGGTGTAAAGCTGAAGCTACTACAGTACCACCATCACTCTTACTGAAGAACCGAAGCAGGTAACATATTCTCTAAAGTAAGCAAATACTTATCTTTTACTGCAAAGTAATCAATGTGTTGGTTTGAGAAATTATCCCTAAATACAGTAGTTAAAGTTGGATGTCAATAACCTACCGAGTATACATAAATTGTTTTTATTGAATAGTATGTAGCTGTAACCTGGTGTTAACGCACTACAGTACAGTATTTGCTTTGTTGATTTTAAAAAGCAATTGAGGTAAACCACAATAAACTTACCATACAGAAATTTAGGAGTAAATAGGCATTATTGAAGGCGATATTAGAAATTTCAAGAATCTTTACTGACAACAGGAGGTTGCAGTGTTAGTAAATTATGAACTTGCTGAATAAGATGGGTCAATTTATAGTAGAGGGCATAATGTGATATTGGATTTTTTCTTATTGCCAGTGATAAGTTCAGACAAAAACAAGACGATTTTCATCTATATAACACTTTTGGCATTTTTTGCTCATAACCAAGATATTTGGAGTTGAAAATCAGAAAACTACAATAGTAGAAAAATTGAGAGGTGGAATGAAATGGCAGGTCTTTGTTTTATTTAATAAGAAGTTCAAACAAAAACAAGACAACCTTCTTCTATGACAACTTAATAATATGTAGTTGATAGCACCAACAAAACCTACCTAACCATTCCTACCCCCCCCCTTCCCCCACACATAAATATCTCGGTTCTACATTATTTTTGTGAGGTAACTGTCAGAAGAAATGTGTCTTGGAATAACAAGATTCTGTTGTTGGCAACAATGCAATAATAGCTTATCTAGTAGTTCTGGGATTTTCAACCCTCCAATATTTCAGTTACGAGTAAAGACCACCAAGTGTCATAGAAGAAAATTGTCTTTTTTTGTCTGAACTTATCATTAATAATAAAAAATCCAATATTGCATTATGTCTTCTGCTATCAATTGACCATAAGATGGTTTAGTACAGTTATACAGTGTGCTGCATCCACACTCCCTAATGGCCCACTTCCAAGACAAGGTTGTGTTCTATCTCAAACTTTGCATAATATATATTCAGAATTCTTAATGAGAGAAGTTCTAAGTGATAATGACTTTGCACTTACCAGGTATAGTGAAGAGGCATTACAAAAACTCGTTAACAGATCGGTGGAAAGAGCAAAAAGGGTGAAAATGTGGTTTAAGAGTTAATGCTATATAGACGAAAGTAATAGTTGTTTCCATATTGGAAATACTGTAAATCCTAAAATAAACATTATGTTAGTTAACGGCCCACAACGGGGCCGTGGGGAGTAGCTGTAACCATGTGTATTATTATATAAGGGCAAGTTACATATGCACACTGTTGTATTAGATGCATGTTTGTTCTACATGTATGTTGTGGATATACAGTAACCTATACCAAATGTCTGCCATTATATACTTCTTAATTTTATGTTTTGACCAATACCAAATTGTATGGTTATGTCATTAGCAGTAGCAGGTTCAGATACATTCAGGAGCCGGTGTATGCCCAGTACTCGCCAACAGTGCGTAACACAGACATAACCGATCGCCCAAGCGGCTAACGAGCCGGTAAGTGGTGAAGAGGATAAAAGTAATATTGTTGGTAATTTTATCTATTAAAATACTCGAAAAATACATGATGTCCATAAATAATTACCCTAAAAACGGTATGCTCTCATATTTTAATCAGGGTAATCATTTATGGACACTCTGCCTAATTTTCCGACGAAAATTCCATATAAGATTATCATAGAATAGTCTGAACTATGCGAAAAAGTGTTTTAATTAAGAAATTGAGTTGGGCCCACTTATAAATTTACCAACTCTTAATATAGTACTTACCATGTTTCATTTGTTGCATCTTCCTCCACATCCTCATATATTGCGCTTGTTTATTGTAAAGGTGTTTCCTATCCTTCAAAAACAGCAGCTCCTCATAATGTAGATTGATATACCTCATCGGAACCTGCAACGTATTTCTTTGAACAGGTAGTTTTCCTCAGTTCCTTTCTAAAGTTGGCTTCACGGAGTTGAATTTCTTTTTCACACCATCTCGTCCGGCCTCTGGGTATTTTTTTCTTTATTTGTTCACCAAAGTCTTATATGCATCGTTCTTCTTTTGTCTGTCACTGTATTCCTCTGATTTCACCTTCCACAGTGCAGGTAAATCCCTACATAATCTTATACATTCCAGTAGGATTCTCAGGTCATCTTCCTTCGTGGAAGACATGTTGATGGCAGTCACCGCGAAGAAAGTAGTAGACAAACTGAAACTACTGACACTTGACAGGTCATTGGCTCAATGCGCAATAATACACACAGAAAACGCAATGGTACACGTATTGCGCAATAAAAATTAAACCAATTTTGATTCCTTCAATATAGTGCGTTATTCTTCAATATTTACCCTAAACAATTAAAACTAATTCTGCGTAATATGGGTTTAGCGCAAATATAGTGATCATGTAGGGGCCACTTAAGATTATAGCAAAAGCTTCAAAATATTTTCTATAATATTACAAAGGTTGTGGCACGTCTGGCATACGTGTCTGAAAGCATAAACCTGAACTTAGTTAAGGCATTGAATCAATGAAAAAATAATTTGTTCACAATTCTAGAAAGTCAGGAAATATCATAATTACATTACTCTTGGTGGCTATATATATTTTTTTCATTGCCTTATAATCCGGTAGCATAGATTATGGAAGTCTCCTCACAAGAGACTGTTATAGTGTGGAGAAGAGAAAATTTAGCCTCGAGGTGTTTCAGAAGTTTCGACCTTTACACTCATATACTGTATGTCCGTATGATTTTCAACTCTATGAAACTCGTAATACCGTATTGTAAATAACAGCATTCCAACGTTTTAGGCTCATAAAACTATATCTGTATTTAAGTTACTTAATTAAATGAATGTTTATGTTTATTGGAAAAAGAAGATAAGAATAAAATAAAGAATTATGAAGCCACGTCAAGGTAATCAGATAATGGTTCGTGGGAGAGATTTCTCAAAACTGTTTCGAATGTTGTAATGTCCGTCCAAAACTTAAAATTTCAATCCTTACCGATTGCGCGTAGAAGGCAAGCCGTTGCTAACCGTAAATAATTAGCTTTAAATCGAATAAGTGTGGTTTATTGGCAAGCATTTGTATATTGAGTTACGGGAGTTAACTACTGTAGTATGACCAACCGGAACCGGCTGGGCCGTTTCCGTATCGACCATACCCTGTTGACACTCAGACATGGGCACGGCTCCCTACAGTGACGACTGTCTGGGTGCATGGTCCCCGAAGACACTTGCTGGTCGAGCATTCCAGTCTGGGAGATAGGCGGCGTAGGCACCTCACACGGTGCCCTCTGTGAGCCCTACCTACCCACATCCTCCCTAACCCTGCCGACTGTCACTGTTACCGCGTCGCTCTCCTGACTTATCCTGGCCAAGGTATAAAGATATACCTTGATCCTGGCGTGCCCTGCTCCTCCCGACCGTCGGCTTGACTTATCTCCGCACACCGATCCTGTCTACTCCATGCCTCAACCTGTCCACCCGAAGGACAGGCCAACTCCTGTCTCTGGACTATCTTCAGGGTTCTTTGCTAATAGTGGAGCTTGAGGTGTTACATTAGTTTGTTCAGAGGCATTAGTCTTAAGCAAATTTCCTCGTCTTGAATTTCTCGGAGTGGAGGTAACTACTGGGATAAGTTCAGATATCTTCAGTTTCAGATTTAATATCTCCTCAGACATTACAAGAAAATTTCTTCTTACAGTACTACTATATTCACTTTATACTGCTTCAATGATCTTTCAACGAGTTGTTCGCACTCTTTCCTATATATCTCCTTTACTGCTATTTCTTCTCTTATTAATCTTATCACACCATTTATCTTTGTAATCTCATCATTCAAGAGAGCCATCTCATTACACAAGGAATTAAACTCGTCTCTATGATCACGGTTCCTAATCCTTTTAGGACCCGATACATCTCTGGTAATTCCTCTAATTAGACATGTTGAGCAAATTCCTATTATTCTGCTATACTCTAAACCTAATACCACAAATCAAAATTAATTCTAATCAGCTGCCTCTCAGTGAATTCTACTGCAGATCCCACAGCATTGGCTACCAGTGTCGAGGTTAGCCTTCAACCCTTTACTTGACCCCCCTTAAAAAAAATTAATTTCTTTATTTACATCAACTATGGGCCA